GGCTGATGTAGCTGCCAGTCACTCCCCATCACATTTGAGAAGTCCTGGCAGTCAGGCGCAGTCCCCAGTGACTGGATAAACAGAAGCATCAAGCCCATTTTGCAAAGGTTAAGAAAAGAGGACCCTGGGAACTGTTCTGGGATTCCATGATTTTTAGGAGCAGTTATGTAAACAGTCAAGTCAATGGTCAGCACTCACCACTTCCTCTCCCTCCTCCCTGGAGAAAAGACCACCACCTTTCTCGGAAGTTAACCCCATGCACTGATACAACAGAAAACAGCTGAGCACAAGCAGTCCCAGCCGGCCGAAGGCGCTCCCCCCAAACCCTCACCTAGATCTGACTTGGGTTACTCTCCCGCATAACAGGTGTCCCCTAAACCCACGTCGGAGAAGGTAACAGCTACAACACCAACCACCTGAGCACTCTTCCCACTTGTTGCTCACAACTGAGAAAAAAACCCTGGAGCTTCTCTGTTCGGGTTTCACGCGTTACCTGTCCCAGGAATGATCTGTGTCGGCATCAGATTCTCTGGTTCATGAGACTGACCCTTTGCACACTTCAGCCAGGAGAAGACCTCCTCATCCCCCATCTCCTCCGACTCTGGAATAAAGACACAAAGAAAGCAAAGTTTGGACAAAAGTCACTACAACTTCCCCCAGAACGTTTCCGCATCACTACTGCTCCTTCAGGTTCTTCACAGTGCAGGAGATCCACCCGCTGATCTTGGAAATGAACTATAAACACAGACCAGGATCCACAGCACCTGCTTCGCCACTGCAGGTCATACAAATACCCCCCATCGCTTGGCACTGTGGGATATCGGTGTTTCCAGTGCCCACCCTCCTCTGCGCAGCAGCGAGAGCTCCTCAGATGCCCAGGCCATCTCTTCACCGTAGCCTGGCACGGACAAGGTTATCCTATTTACCTCCTTGAGGTGAGAAGAAAAGGGGTCGAGCGACATCTGCCCCTGAATCATGGACACCTCACAGAGAGAGCCTGAGGGGCCAGATACTGTGTGCTTGGGAACCCGCCAGCCTGCCCGTGGGATGGCCATTTCTTGCCTCTGCATCGCTCGCCTTCTCTGGGTCTCCTCTTTCACCTGTCGCACAATTTTTATCCTGAATCACAAGGTCTCTTGCTTTTACTCTGCCTTTTCTCTTCCCCAACTCCGGTGCCATGGGGGAGTGAGCAAGCGGCTGCGCATGGCTCACCTCCCTCCTGGGGCGACCCCCAACAACGGTATAAACACAGGTGACTTTTCACCTATTTTAAACAACCTGTTGCTTTTCTACTTTGCTCGGTGTCTTTGGCACCGTTATCGTGAGCGGCCAGCAGCGCTCGCACTTACCGACATCGAGTTCCGAACCCCTGCTCTGCCAGCCTTACGCTGGGCCCTGCCCGCTGCCAGCACAGCCGCTGCCGCAGGGAATACCCACAGGCAGCCAGGCGCTCCCTGCTGCGAACAGCGTGCCTCTGTGTCAGAACGGGACTCACCAAGCCCCAGTGCATCACGCAATCGGAACCCGCAGGAAAGTTCCCAGTCTAACCCCCGCTGCAGACAGGGTTCTCCGCAACAGCGGCCTACCAGCTCATCGCCTGACGGCTTCCCCCTGTTTAGGTGTTGCTTCATTCCCCGAGGAAAAGATGGAAGTACACACAGTCTGCCTCCACAGCCAGCCGATGCTACAGTCTGAATATGCAAACTGTAACCAACTAGGTGTGACGCAGACATCCGAGGAAACAGAATGGGACAGCAGCGTACAGGACAGCAGAGCCTGAACCCCAAACCTCCAGCCTCCCAGGCTGACAGTCACGCACCCTCCCACGGAACCAGCGACAACCTCCTGGCAGCTGGAAGCCAGTCAGTTCAAAGATTCCAGTGGGGAAAAATCCCGTACTCACCGCTACGGGGGCGATTCTTCCGCAGCCGGTAACAGTCCAGGCAGACCCCGAAACCACACTTGCGACAGACCCAGTGGATGTTGAAGAGCGGCGTCTCGCACACGTCGCACATTTCCCTCACGCCACGCACCGCTCGCTTCCACGCCACTTTCTCTGCAGAAGGAAGGAGCGTTCGGGGTTACTGCTTTGAAATTCTGCATTCCTCCCCTCGTCTGTGAACGCCACAGCAACACCGACACACAACCAGCTCACAGAAACGTGACTCAAGCGCCGAGCGCAGCGACAAGCACCCGGAGACACATTTTTTGAGCTGCTGGTCTCATCAATCTACCCAAATCCCCATTTCTATGCCCAGCGACGGTCCCGTCCCGATGCTCCCGCTGCAGGGAAACAGAGCGGCGTTCTGCTGTAATGGTGTTCCAAGGAGTGCCGACGGAGCCCCCAGCTGCTGCGCGTTCGTGCACACCTAACAGGATGTGTAAAACCCTCCGGAACTCGGTTAATTTTACTGCTCAGCTGCCCGACAACGCTCTGCATTCTGAGCCAGCACAGCAGCCGAGGAAGGGCAAGTCCTCTCCCAACAGCCGCCCTTGCACGCTCCTGAAGCTCAGGGGGAGCTGAGGCAGTCGCAGTTGTCCATGTGGCAAGCTGAACTGGATACCCTCGGATAACTTGTCCTAAGCCCACCCCCCTTGCAGCAGCAATAGAGGCCAAGCCCTTGGAGGCTGAGCCCTTGAGGCACTGCTCCCGCCCCAGCAAACCCTGAGCTTATGTGATGCCCCTGGGCGTGACAGGAAGGAGCAGGTGAGGGAAGCTGCCCATGGAAGCACAGCTGGACAGCTTCTGTTTTCTTGGGAGCAGGGGCCAGCTGCTTCCTGCATTTGGTTCCTGAGAAAGAGCTCTGTGACGCCTGGGAAGGTTCCTGTTAGGTCCCCGGCAGTAACGTCACGCTGACCCAGGAGAAAAACCCCAAATGCTGGCCCCACAAGTACACCCCCTCGAAGCAGCGAGCACAGCCTTCTCTTCGGGAGAAACCTGAGCAGTGCTATTACACACTGTCGGCCCCACTGCACGGCCCTGTACACACGCCACAGCGAGGATGGACAGACAACATGGCAAAAGCCCAGCTTACGATGTGGCTCCACCATCATCATTGCTTCCTTCTCTGACATAACAAGCTGGCAGAACTGGTCCCCAACATTGGCCAGGATATACTTGGAAGTTTCCAGATCGATCCCCTCTGCAGGGGAGGTGGAAGGAATCCAGAGGCTCATGGCATCAGGGTCACTCTGTTGCGGGTTCAAGAAACCCTCTACACGTAGAATACCTTTCCGGGTAAATATCAGCCTGCAGAAAACAGAATGGAGTAATTAAGAAGCTGCTCAACCACCTTTAATTACCTCAGAATGCCATCTATGTCAGAACATAATCCCAGAAAGGGGGAAAAAGGCTTGAGCTGGAGCGTTACACCTTACAGCCTGTACAACGATTATGCAATCCAAGCACAGAGAATAAGGTCTGCAACGGCCACGAGACCCACTAGAACGAATCTCCAGCTCTCAGTAAGCGCTGGTGGGACGTTCCATGTACAGGAAATGGCTCCAGCCTGTAAGTCGTGTTTTCCTACACTACTAATAGACAGGGATGACAAAACTCAGTGTCTGTGGGCTGCTGCATGCTGCTGCTTGTGGAACTCCCCCTGCCTCTCATTCTGTTTTAACTGAGGAGAACGTCATTTCCCAACTTGTGGGAAGCCAGTATTCCAGCCCTGGCTAGGGCCACCAGCACATGGCAGCTGTTGTAGGCATTCAAAACCCTGACCATACCTACTGCTCTTGCCCCCTCCCCACAGAGACGACTCACACCGGCTTCAGGAGAGGCGCTGATGCTCCTGGGCTCTGTGTGGTAAGAGCCACAGAACCCTGAACATCTGCCAGCACCAGGGGTAACTTCATTTCCAAGCAAGACCAATCGTGTCTTTAACCCAACACGAGATGCATTTTTAACGGGCCCAGAAGCGCAGCAGCTATAATCCCTACCGGATGGGCGGCACACCCACTGCAGCCCCGCCGTCACATTCTACCCTACTAAGCCAATTCAGTCTCCCGAGGCGGGACGCGGAGGCTTGCGCTACGTGAGCCCCACGGCAGCTCCTCCCGCCCCAGCGAGGGAATTCCAGTCAGGAGATGCAGGGAAATGCAACACGCTCAAAACCTTTGTTACTGCACCCCAGCACAAAACATAGCTACTCTGTGCTCGGACAAGGTCTCAGCTCTGCCCACAGACTACACACGAAGTAAGGAAGGATTTGAGCACCTCCGGAAATGGAAGAAGCGACACGCCACAGTTGAGTCATCCTGCTCTTGCTCCTTAAACTTGCGGTACCGCTCCAGACGGCACTCCCGGCACTTGTGCAGATGTGGAGCTACGTTGATGCAAGAGCCGTCCTGGAGAAAAGGCTCACCTGACTGCTTCAGCTTCCTCACCTTGCTCATATCCTTCAGCACAGACTGGCCAACTGGGGGGTGCAAAGTAAAGGAAAAATCCGTCAGTTAACAGCAAAAGGACACTGGCCCCGACACAGAGTTTCAGAGATCCATATGTTCATAGCCAGGCAAAACCAGGAAGACCACTGAAGCCTGCAGCACACCACACCTGTCCTGACAAACTCATGCTCAAGCATCTCGCCAAGGGACCGCGTGAATTCACACCCAAGCAGCATTAAGCTTTAGCTCTGTAAACGCCGTGTGTGCTGCCTACTGAGCATCAGTGGGGTTTGCACTTCAGGTTAGTTCATGGGGCTCATCACAGGAGATACCCAGTATCCCACCTCCTTGTGTTTCCAAGAAACCCTACATTCAAGTCATCACCTTTTAAGGGAGCTGTGCGAGGCCGGCCCTTCGGGGCCTGCTTCCCTTTTCCTTTCCCCAGCAGCAGCTCCGCGTTGCGCTCTGCATTGGGGCCCAGCTTCGCCATCAGGTGGTCCGGGATTCCCTTCATACAAGCCTTGGCCTGCAACTGGTCTTCCGAGTCACTCAGGTCTGACAGATCACTATTGGTACTGGAGTCCGAGTCCTGCTTGGACGTCAAGCTCCGCTCGTCGAGAGAGAACCTTTTCACAGCTTCAAAAGGGGCTTTGTTCTCCTGCGAAAACTCTGCCTGGGAAGAGAAGAAGCCGGGAGGATGTCTGCCAAACACGCTGGAGAAAGTTTTCAGAAGAGGATTGTCCTGCTGCCCAGGCCCAACAGCTGGCTTTTCTTCCGTCGGGCTGGAGGAGAGCGTGGGCATCTCAATGGGCTGCGTCAGGTTGCTGGTCGGTGAGCTGGAGCGGCCGTTCCCGACGGTGGGAGGGCTCTGAACACCGGAAAAAAAAACCAGGAGCACTGGAGATCATCTTGGAGGAGTCGGTTGTTATAAACAAGGTTTTCTTCTTGACTAGAGAAGAGTCTGTGGAGGTGAGCGAGTCTGGCCAGCCGGAAGCGCCCTTCGGACCCGCAGGAGTGGAGGGAGCAGAAGCCCCCGTCTGAGATGAAGATGCAAAGCCACTGAAAGGGCTCCGTTCTGCTTTCTCGGCAAAAGCCAGGAAGGGGTTGGAGGGCTCCTCTCTTGACAGTTTTGGGGGCTGTAAAAACAGGTTTTCATGACTATCGGAGGGGCGGGTATTCAACAGGCTTCGTGAAAAGGCTGGAGTAAGGGTAGGCATGGATTCCACAGGCAGCTTCCGCTCCGCAGAACTGCCAGGCTGGGCTCCTGCTTTAGTGTCTGCTGGGAGAGCTTTACCTTTACAGCTCCCAGCACCCACACTCTCTGTACACTGCTTGAGCGAGTCCCGGCCAGAGGGATCTTCCGTCAAGCTCTCCGAAATGACCGTGAAGTAGTTACTGGAAGGGAGATTCTGGGACATGCATTGAAAAAACAAGTTCTTGGACAGATCAGGATCTTTCTGAGCCTCTTGTCCAGTACTGCAGCCAAAAGGAAATCCGGAAGGCTTGCTTTCCGAAGACACCACTCCATTTGACTGGCTCCTTCCACCCCCAAATGCCAAGGACTGGGAAGCACTTGGGAGCGAGACTCCAAATCCAGAAGCAGCCAAAAGTGAACTTCGGGAATTCTGAAACAAAATTGAAAAGCATCAGCCTGTGAAAGGATTGTTCGGCTCACCTTATCGCACAGCGAGCATCCTGCTTACCCCCCTGTACCAAACCTCCAGCGCCGTGGCTTACACGGCAGAAACTTGGGTAAGGACTCCGCTAGACTGACTTCGCCTATCACCACCCACCTAGCCCAGGCCTAAGGCTGGCTTCATGGAGCAGTGCCAGGAAGGACAATCCCGCTCCACCGACTTACTGCCAGGCGGTTTACGTGAAGGATTAGTCACGGTTCGTTAGGGGAAGAGAGTTTAATTGTCAGAGCCAACGCTTCTGAGCAAACACCCTCCGCAATAACAACACTGCTGAGTGAAATCAATAGCAGGAGACAGATATAAAACATAGCAGCGTAACTCCAACACACTGCAAACGGGTATAGCGACGAGGGGAGAGAGCTCACAGGACCCGATCAGCCGAGGTACAGTGTGGCAGGGACCTCAGTCCAGCTGACAGTTCCTTCCCAGCAGCGTTTGATAGCCCTGGGCACACAGGCACCCAAAAGGGCCCACGGGGATACAGTGGGAGGTGCCAGCCTGCGCCATTCTAGTCAGGTCGGCCTGGAGCGGTGCGTAGAGACAAGGTGGGATGGTGCTCCCCAGTGCCACGTAACCAACCTGTCTCAGGTGACCATCCCCAGTGGGCCCACGGGCGGAGGGTGTGAGCGAGCGAGATCTCACACGCTGCACAGCAAGGGCGTACAGCCTCAAGGACGAAGACAGGGCCCAGCCTGCGCCCAGCCCTGCTTCTCTCTTGTGGTTAATTTGCTTCCCCTTTCTCAGGGGGCTTGTCTTGACATCAGTCTGGGCTCTGGACATCAGTCGAGGCCTCACACCTACCCACAAGCTGCTGAGCGAACAGCGTGCGTTACACACTGAACACACGTGGACACAGCGAGCACTTGGTGTCACTGCACACCGACTGCCCCCCAGCCCAGCGTGTGGCCAGCCCCCAGCTGCACTAACCTGACCTCACCTCCCCCCGACAGCTCTTCAAATACTACCAGTTCAGGTACTTCTTTTTAGAGCCAAAGTAACTGTCACACACTGAGTTCTAACAGCTTTAAACAGCCCAGGAACAGGAACACAAACCAGGCTTGCCAAGTAACCTCAAGGGCCAGATCACACTGTGATGAAGTGGAGAGTTGGAAGCGGTAACACGTGACCTGTCTGCAGCCCCACTGATTTGTGTCGGGCTCCCTCCTTCCAGAAAAACCCCGTTTGAAGAGGACCGGTGGCCCACCTGCAGGCTCTGCAGCCAGAGCACCAACAGGGACTTAAACCAAGTGACTGGGGGGGAGGGAGGGGGCAGGAGAGGTTGCAACAGAAATTCTCAGTACAACTGAGGTTCCTCCTCAGTACTGCTGAGGATGGACTGTTCACCCTCACGACCTGTACTTGCTCCCAGCTCTGAACCACTTGGTGTTTTAGCAGGGCTGGAGGAGAGAGCAGGTTACATTGGCAAACTACAACTACCAACACTCCTGCCTTCCACAATTCTACTTCTCCTTCACACCTTGCATATAGGAATCTTCATCCCAAGTTAAACATCTCGCCTTCTCCCCCGCTCCGTTAGCTAATACCAAAGTCAGGGGTGTAAGCACCCTGTTTAACCTCCTGGCAGCCCCCCTGGACTCCAGGAACCTTCCGTTTTCTTCAGCCAACAGACTAGAGTTTCCTAATTTTCCGCTGTACTTGCCAAGACGAGCTTCTGCTTTGTTCTCACAGGCCTTCATTTGATTACTTAAAAAACCTTCTATTTTGTTGTTAACGAGGTTTCCCTTCTACTTCTCCCCTGGAAAACAGACAACTGGAGGTCTTTGAGCTGCTCCCAGACTGAACTCCTCACAAGACTTACCTAAGGGGGCCAACCCACCTGTTTCTGCTGCCAGCCCCAGGCAGTACTCGATGTCACTGGCTCATTCTTCTACGCAGAGATACCATGGCCCTAGCAGACAAGTTGGGGATCTCTCAAAGGCATCTCTAAATGAAGCCTCAGCTTTTTTCTAACAGTGCTGAGGGGGTTTGTCAGCAACCTAAATATTGAACTCAGCGCACACTCTCACTCACATCTGTTCACAAGATGTGAAAAGGCAAGAGTATTGAGCAGGTTACCCTACATAAGACACAACAAAATTAATTCTGCTAAATTCAGTGCTGACAGTGCCTTTAGGGCTGCATTTCTCAGGGTAAGGCCAACTAAAGGTGCGCTAAAAAGTTGTCTCTTACAACTCCTCCACCAAGTACGTTCGTTTTCCTCTGATCTGGTTCTTAGATCAGGCAACAGGTTTCCGTTGGGAGGGGAGGGATTCATCAGAGAAGGAGCAGGCTGCTCGGTTCACAGACACACCCTGTAACAGGGGCACGCCGCAGAAGGCCTGCTCCGAACACCTGGGTACGTCTTGAACGTGCGGGATCACGAGCTACTCACCTCTCCCTGCGCTTGTGGCCGGCTTGTTTTCAGCTTCTCCTGCCCAGGGCCAGCTGGCAAACTGGTATCAGAGATTCTCACAGTTGTCGGCGTCAAAGCAGTCGTAGTAACAGCAGCTGCAGACGTCACCGTGCCTTGGCCAGCCTGTTCCAGTGATTTTCCTGCCTCTTTACATCCAGAGCCAGCTAGTAACGCCGGTCCAGCCGCAGAGGAAAACTGAGTGAAGGGCAATGGTGTGTCACCACCAACTGGCTCGTCCTGGACTACCAGTGTTCGGCCATTCTCTTTGGTGTAAGTGGCAAAGCGAATATTGCGATTAATCTGAGGAATGAACGAAGGCAACTGTTTGGCCCTTGGATCCAGTCCTGTTTCGCTACTGGAGCCTCCTTTCCAAGGACCTCTGCTTGCCTCACCTCCATCGCTACCATTGCTATCCACCTCACCCCTCTCCTTTAGCTTCTTTGTTGCAGGATCACATCCGGAATCTGACGCGCTTTTCCTCCTCCGGCCATCCTTTCCCTCCAGACTTTCTTTCTTCTTTTTCCCTTTAGGTGGTTTAGCTGCCTTCAGGCCCCCTCCCTACAACAGAGCACACCACGCAATCACTGAACAGGTAAGCAGGAAGACCCGAGCCCAGAGCGTTTCTGTTAGAAGGAATACATCACGCTGCTCCCCAGCTCAGGAACGTCCCTGCCCACCACAGATGGAGGCGTCACGGGAAGATGCCACCAGAACGCAAGCCCAAGAGCGGTCTTGTCTTTTTTGTACTGGGATAGGATCTTCCCAGTAAGATTTTTAGCTGAGCTACTCTGCTGTAGCACGTACCACACCGTGGCAGGGTCTGGGAAACACACAGCTTGGCCATACTCCAAAGCTCTTGCTAACGTAGGAGAACGATTCACACACTGATTTTCACAGCAAGTCTAATCCCGCAGTTCTCCCGAAGGACACACGCCCTGCCCACCACTCAACACCTGCAACACTTAACCGCAGGAGAGAGCCCGCCCTTTAGCCCAGGGTAAAACCAAAGCTCGTGTTATCACGGAGCCTCTCGACTGCAGCAATAGGACGCACAAGCACGTCCCGGCTGAGAGGAGCCAGAGGGTAGTTTTTAGAAATGCCCAAACCAGCCTGCAAAAAGCAGAGTGAGCCTGTTAGAAAAAGGCAGCAAGTACAGAAACATTCTTCACCAGAGCGCAACCACCCCACTGACCAAACTCCCCCAGGATCCGTGCTAACTTAGGAATAAGGGGCCTGAGCAGAAGGAAAGCTGGGGAGACCTTATTGCAGCCTTCCAGTGCCTGGGGGAGGCTACAAGAAAGCTGGAGGCGACTTTTCCCAAGGGCAGGGAGTGACAGGACAAGGGGTAACGGGTTTGAATGGGAAGAGGGAGATCGGGATGGGACAGCAGGAAGGAATTCTTCCCGCAGAGGGTGGGGAGGCACTGGGACAGGTTGCCCAGAGAAGCTGTGGATGCCCCATCCCTGGATGTGTCCGAG